TCATCAGTGGATACATTATCATCTATTGTCTCTAAATCTATTAAAAATGCAGAGGCTTGTCTTCGTAGGCTTTCTAAACCCCTCTCAGATGCCACCACTCAGTACATTCTAATTTGATCTTGTGAAGCAGCCTTTTCACAGAGGCGCTGTCCGTGGTGCTGGAACCTCACTGTTTGCGTAGTTCAGCCTCATGGATGAAGGTAAGCCATTGGGCTGACAAGTGATCCGTGTGTTGCTTGAGGTGGATTACAGACTCTATCCCTCCATCATGACATGGAGGAGCCTCTACTAAATCTAACAACATGACTGATTCAGCTGTCAGTCAAGCCACATCCTTCCACCCAAAGGAAGCCAGGTGAGGAGTTCACTCCCTCATGGGAAGAATTACCCACAATAAAATTAGTGAGGCATTTAAAGTGACTTTGACAAGGTCTGTCCCAACTTATCTGGATTTTTGGCGCTTTTCAGCCGCACAACCTTGAACATTTTTAGCTGCCTGACAGGGGTCCCATTCATCTTTTAATTGGACAGGATACAAGGTTAATCTTTTGGACTATTTTTCCCCTCATGCAACTGTACATTTGGGACCTGATGATGGAAAAAAGACAAACCTTGTGTCTGAAATCATGCACTTTCATAATGTACTAGACTCTTAGTATAAGGGTCCTCTATATTACCAAAAGAAGATTCTATGACTTTTAACAGTGGAACTCTTTAGTGCTGTATAGAACCACGTTTAAAGCTTTTTAAAGAAGAATATACAAGAAGTTCTCCATAGAAATGTTAGGTTCTATAAAACCCAGGTTTCATTCATGTTGTTTAGTCCAACTGATTTTCTTTATTCATTGTCATTTGTTATTTTGGGTAGGCCCCTTTATAAATTAACATAGCTAAAGCTACTAGAAACACTGAAAAATTAACATTGCACACTGTTTGTGCTCAATGCTCAAGCATCAACTAGAAAGCCCCCCAGTATTGGGCTGTGAGACAGTAGAACTGTGTTCTCTGGAGTGATGGAGCTCCATCCAATACCTTTGGGATGAGTTGATGTGGTGTGTTTGATCCAAAACAAATGAACTAATAAAAAGAGACATTAGAAACATTCAGATTCAAACCTGATAGTTTTACTTTCTAACGGGAATTGGCATAACGGTTATCACTGGAAACCACGAGTTTCCTGCAGGACACTTAGATCCCATTAGGCAGCCATCAAATATATCTGAGATCAGTCCCAGAACACCTGTTAAACCATTAGAATCCTTTGCACTGTAATATCAACCCACCAGGAAAAGATTAAATATTATTACTGGCTATTAAACACTACCAGGTATCAACAGACACCTTTAATGGATTCTAGGATATTTTTCAGCTGGGCTTACTAATGCTCTTGTGGCTAAATGCAATGAAATCCTAATGGCAATCTTCCAACATCTAGTTTAAAACCTTCCCAGAAAAATAGAGCCTATTACTGCGGCAACGAGGGACGAACTGCCTGTTAATATAATTGATTTTGGAAGAAATGTTGGCTGAGCAGGTGTCTGCAAACTTTTGGACACATAGCATAGCATAATTTGCCTTTTGCCTTGTGGAATTTCAAAACATTATAAAGGTAATTTAGCATGCTATAGCTAACGTAAGCTAACTGCTAATCTAGCAACTAGCATTACCTACTTTCTAGAAACTAAGATTAGCTGACTTCTAACCTAGCAGCTAATGTTAACTCACAGGTAACCAAGAGGCTAATGTTAGCTAACTGCTAACCATACAGCTAACAGTAGCTAACTGCTAACCTAGCTGCTAAATGTTAAGTGTAATTCAAAGCAGTACTTTCCATTTAGTGTAAACTGTTAATGATGAAACTATCCTACAAAATGCAGTCTGTAAATAATGAAGTATATGGTGTATAACAATGTAGTGCAAAGTGCCTGAATTAAGACTTTACAGCAAACCAGCTGACCATCTGAGGTGTGGATGCACTTCGCTTTTTCCCAGCTGTAATGTGATGAGAACGGCTGCTGCTAAGGATGCATGAGGAAGGGAATGAATACTTGTCCCCTGGGACCTGCATTTTGTGGTGTGGATATTAGTTGCCATTCTAAAATGGCTTTTCCAGCCACCTATTGCTACCTGCCTCATTGAATAACAAATCAAGCCCTTCTTGGTCACTCAATTTTTGTCTAATTTCCTTTACAATGGATGGGTCCATTATTACTTAAAATCCCATTAAGGGGGTTGATACTAACGTATGAATAGAATGAAGGATATTTTGATTGAATATCTAGACTGAATGTCAATTCTTACAAGTATGATAATGATGAAGTTTTAGGGAATAAAGAAAGATCCGATACAGGGCCGCTCAGTAATCCGCACACAGTGTCATGCCGAAGCTTATTCATAGCTCATTGCGCAACTTCTGTTCTTGTTTTGGTTTATCTAGAGGGATTAGGAGGTGTTCCACTGTAATAGTTATTAATATGCCTCAGCAGTTCTGGAGCTAATTATTCCCAAAATGTACTGTACATAGTGTACGTTATCTGAATGTTACCTAGCTTGCAGCCCAAGACAGATGCAGTACCCAAACATCCACAGGATCTGGCTTAAAATGTCCAAAAGTATCCAGACACTCCTTCTAATTAGTGAATTAGCATACTTTGAGTTGAGGCGCTATGAATTGTTGAGTTTCTATCCTACCAAACAGGTCTATGTTGCTTTAGCCTAACAAAACAAGGCAGATTGGAAACAACAAGGACAAATTTGCCACCATGTTAGCATTCATCCAATTACATGATGAAAACAAGGCCCCAGTGTCATTGATGCAAAGCACCAAAAGCTATTTTAGTGCTAATATCGCCCCCTTGTGGAGAATCTTCAGCCTGCTAAATATGAGAGAGTGACAAGTCAGGTCCATGAGCAGCTTTACATCTACAAATATTACATTCACTGTAGTGTGGCCTTTAAGGCCCATACAAAATTAATATGATTTAAAATAATAACGCTGTAAAACTACACTGTGCAGGTTTTGGGATTTAGAGACCTCTCTGGTGAAGATGTGTAATTGCATGCAATATGTGGAAGAACAATTTGTAATGTTGGTTGTGCTTCAGATCCCTTTGCAGAGACGATGAATCTGAGGATTGTAAGCAATTTGAAAGAGTATTCAAAGAGAACTCAAAACTTGGTAATGGGGAGTGTCTTCTGAGGATGTGAACGAATGATCTACTGTTGCCATTATATCTTCATCAGTAAGATGTTGATTTAGCATTTGAGACCTAAACGTTGAGGCAGATCTTCTTTTTGAGAGGAAGAATGGTGGCAGAACCATGCTGGTTTTCAAGCTTCGCTTGTAGATTGTAAGGTGGTTGTTGACACATCACATATGGAGGGTTAGTTGCTGACTCGGAGGAATGTTTCACTGCCCTCAAGACATTGTAATTAGGTGGGTCAAAGAAAGGGCAGCTCTCTCTCTCTCTCCCTCTTTCACTCTGCACACGCCTGCTGGTCAACACCAGCTTCAGAAAGTGAAAATGTTTCACAGTGAGAGGTAAATTTCAGACATCTTTGCCTCTGACTTGGTAAACAAAGGAGGTTTTTATGTGCCATAAACATCATTCCACAAAGAATTGACACCAAGCAGCCTGTGGTTGCATTTTTTAGAATAATGAAAAAATGAACTGGCTGGGTTCAGGTGTTATGGTTCATAATATAATGTTGGATATGTGGTAGTGGGTGATATGGAACATGCAGGGCACCGGCCCTGAATGACTGAGCCATGCTTTTCTTCAATTCCTCCTTAGAAGTGTCTTCTATAAGTACCTTTACATACAGTCAGGTCCATTAATACTTGGATGTCAGTATAGTTATTGTTATTTTAGCTGTCTACCACAACATAGTGGAGTTTAAATGAAATAATCCCTCCCTCTTTGTTTCTCGCTCCTCTTTCTCCCTCTCTTACTGTCCATTTCCTTCTCTGTTTATTTTCTGTCTGTTTCTGTCTTTCCGTCTCTCCCAGGTTCATTTCTCTCTCCTTTATCTCTCTATGTCGCTCTTTCCCCATCTATCGCTCCCTTCTGTTCCACCTTTACTCCATCTCTTTCTCTCTCCTCCCCTCTGTTTCTTTCTCTCTCTCTATCTTCTCTCTGTATCTCTCCCTTTTTGTTTTTTCTCTCACTCTTATTATCTTCTTCTCTATCTCTCTTTGCGCTCTCTCTTTCTCCTTCCTTCTGCCTCTCTTTGTCTTTCTGGTTTTCTCTCTTTCCCTCCCTCCCTCTTCATCTGTCTCCCTTCTTTCTCTCTGATGGGCTGTCCACCTCTCTCGCTCCCTTCTGTTCCACCTGCCCCCCTTTCACTCCACATTTCTCCATTTCTCTTTCTCTGCCCCTCTTTCTTACTGTTTCTTTCTTTTACTCTCTCGTCTTCCTCTCTCCTTTCCCGCTCTCCCTCTCCCACTTCTTTCTTTCTCGCCCCTTTCTATCGCTCCCTCTGTTTCTCTCTCCTTTTTACTCGCCTCTCTTCCACCTTTACTCTCTCTCCTCCCTCTCTGTTTCTTCCCTCTTTCTCTCTTTCTGTTTCTTTCTCTCTCTTTCTCTTTCCTACTGCCTCTCTTTTTTCTCTGTCTCCCTTCTTTCTTTCTGTCACGCTGTCCCCGTCTCTCGCTCCCTTCTGTTCCACCTGCCCCCTTTTCACTCCACATCTCTCTCTTTCTCTCACTCTCTCGTCTCCTCTCTGTTTACTTTCTTTTCTTAATCTCACCTTCTCTTACTTTCTTTCTGTCTTTCACTTTCCTCTCTTTTCTCTCTCTCTCCATTTCTCTTTCTCTGCCCCTCTCTCTGTTTCTTTCTTTCCCTCTCTCTTCTTCTTCTCTCCTTTCTCCTTTTTATTTTCTGTCTCTCTCTCTCTCTCTCTCTCCCCGTCTTCATCTCCATCTCTCTCTCTCTCTCTCTCTCTCTCTCTCTCTCTCTCTCTCTCTCTCTCTCAGGCCCCGCCCCCTCTCTACCTGCGCGCTCTCTCCACTGTTACTGGTCCTCCTTTCATCGCTTCACTCACAAGTTGGAGTCAGTTGATCCGGAGCCCACAAACTCGCTCGCCTCACAGTTACGAACAGAGCCGAGAAACGGGACATGCTGGTCAGTGGACGCTTTTCTGTCCACTTACGAAGTGCCCTCAGAAGTTATCCCGGTCTCAGAGCTCAGATTCGCGCAGTCGGTGACCGTTATAAACGCCGTATGTGTGGAGAATGGGCAGCTGGAATGTGTGGAGAATAAGGATGTAAACGGCGGGAAAGAAGCCCGGAGACACGGGAGAGACACCAGACAGTCCTCAAATCCTATGGCTTGAAGGTAAGATATCACCAGATACCAAAAACAGCAAAAAGTTACAAAAAATGTATTTGTAACATAAACGCGTTAAGTTAGCGGCTTATTTCAGTTTCCCGTTCCACCTTAAATGGAGCCGCAGTTACATTCTGACGAGCCGAGCACCGGAATGTAACCGCCGCCGCATTTAAGCTGGACCAGAACCATCGACTTACTAGCCAACTTCAGCCACATGCCGTGTGTTGAGTTTCAGCCAGGTTTTTGTCAGAAAACTGCTCGCAAATGAAGTTATAAGAGGCAGTTTTTTACTTTTTCACACCCATTTTCATTTTTTTTCCTTTCGTTCTGAGGAGCATTACAGTGTGGAGTTCTGTGGTAAAGACTTGAGTAGCTCGTTAGCTCTGAGGCTCTTTCAAACTAGCGAGTCCATTGATACTGTTTGTTACATATCATTTAACAGTGTGAGCCTCAAACAGAGCGTGTGCTTTTAAACGGTTCAAGCTGTGCCTAAATGTGAATAATCTGAATGGGATTTTTGCTGAAGAGCCAAAAACCTCATAGACATTCTAACATTAATGTATGTGGTGATATTTTGTGAGCTGTTGCACAAAATCCAGTCACAAAGTAGCAGATGTCAGCTTTTTTCCTCACAGTGAATACAAGAAATCTCGAGATTTTGTCTGTTGGCTGTTTTGTATTTTGATTCCTTTGAGGCAAATCTTTAAGATGTGAAGATTGTGAATTTAAATACTTCTGGTTATGGTTTAGGGAAGTCCTTCTTGCTAGATAATGTGAAAATCTGCTTGAAAAATCTAATCAGTGCCTTTTTTTCTAACACTGAAGACATGTCCCTTCTCTTTCCTATCTTTTCTCCTTCTCTTCTCTCTCTTCCCTCTAATTTGAAAGAGAACTACATTTAGGGGTCAGTGTTAACTGAGTCTGCCAGCCTGAGGCTTCATAAAATTCTTAGAAATACATACTCGGTTGAGGGTAAAGACAGTGGATTATCTTCGACTTATTCAGTGCATAATTGCTAGACATTCGAGGGCCCTCCTGCTGGATTGAAACTGTCTTAAACTGCCTGAAAGGTCATTTCGAATACAAACGTCTCTTCGATGGACTGTGTGTCAGTGCCGTCTAATACATGCACAGACACATAGCATATTTCAGCTTTTAAATGTCAACAATGAAACCGGCGATTAATACAGGCTGACGCGAAGCCTGGGCTTAGATAGCTGCAGCTTTCAAAAAACAGTAGCTATTATTTGACCTTTTCAGTTTCAGACGTGCTTTCTCTCCCTCCAATTTGCTCCGTGACCAATGATTTTCCTCAGATGACAGCAAGTCCATCACCTCTTGATAGGTGCAGCTGGAACAGCAATGATGGCCACATTCCAGCTGCACCCTCCAGCCATGCGTTTCTCACTTCCGTGCCGAATGGTTAGTGATGACAGCAACATTTAGTATTTGTGCCAACCAAAAAAAAAAAGAGAAATCACTCAAGGTTGACATGTGGTGCCATATTAAAGATCACAGTCTGAAACGATTGATGGGATTGCCTCAGTGTGAGGAGACATAGCATGTTGGGTGATAGTTAATTATTGATGAACTACCTGTGAACAATTTTACAGACACTTTTTATTGCTTTCCATTTATTATGATGCATTATGCATGGCGAGAGGGTCTTGTTCATTGTATTTTTGATGTTACATTGTTGTAAAGCTCAATGCTGGCAGACTGCAAGTGTTTTAAGCAGTTTAAAATTGAAGAAACCTGTAGCACTGTATGCCTATAAGACAATGTGTGCATTACCATTCAAACGTTTGGAATCACTGTTTTCAATAATATAAAACCAGTTTTGTTGCAGGTGTGTGTATAAAACGCCTTTTTATGATGCAACTACACCACCACTTCATAACTTTGAAGCTGTAAAAAATGAAGACACTGTAGTTGTGTCCAGAATGATGAGCATAGCAGAATTCATAATGACTGAGAAAGCTGAACAAAATGGAGAATGAAGTTAATTAAATTAAATAGAATTAGCATCCAGAATGCCTCATATTTGAAAAGTGCTGATCAGAATACATAGACAGATATTACTTTAAATGGACAATGCTTCTTCACTTCTTAAGTTGCTTATGTTCATAAAAAAACCTGAAATGTTAAATAAAACATCTTAAAATACTTTCTGGTGTCTAACTTATAGCATATTAGTCTGCACTGTTTGGGCACATGATGATACTGGAATCATATAAGTATTGATGAATAATTGTTAAAAAAAAAGTATTTTACATCCAGATTAGATGGCGTATTTATTGTACTCCAAAGGAGCTGAAATTTTTGGTGGCACTTGTTTTTTTACAGTTAAATATCTGCATTTTATTAATTTTACTGCATTTGTAACCCTCTTTAAATGTTCTCTACATTTCTCTGTGATGCTATCCAAGCAGATTTAGTTCCAGTACGTTTTGGAAATGTTTATGTATCGACATTGGCAGTTATGCACATCAAAATAATGGATATTGGTATTGGCCCAAAGAAATTATTGTAGTATTGTAGTAATTATTGTAATTAAGTTATTACTGAGTAAAATAACAACAACTATGACAAATGATTCCAAACGTGTGCTTTGATTTTACATGATTCAAAGGAATCATGCTGTCTTTCAGTTAGTTCTCTTTTAACATTTAATTCAACACATTTGAACAATGTAAATTCAAAGCACCATTTTGTTCAATGCCGGATGTTCACTCAAATGATTTCTTGCAGAAAACCTTGACCCTCACATATATAAACAGTGGAACATATAAAATAAACATATTGTGTTTTTACACAAGTTTACTAGTGTAAAACAGTCCGTCTCATGAAATCACAAGCTGTTGTCAGAAACTGAAGCTTTTCAGTGTGCAGCAAGCCTTTTAATGTCTGTCTGGATTACATTCATTTCATATGCCCCCTGTTTGCACCCTGTAGCGTAGAACTTGACTGGTACTTCACTCAGCCTCCACAGAGTAGGACTGATTTTGCCTTTTAGCTATGCTGTTATTTTCGCTCCCCGGGCCCACTGCGCGATTCTGTCTTGCAGCTGCTGCAGAAATCGCAGGGGCTTCAGACCATGACTAATTCTGGATTGTAATCATATGCGTAAATAAATACTGTCCTCAAAATATGTATGCTTCAGTGAGTGCTGTGGCTGCTTGAGAATGGTTTAGAAGTCTTCCAGTTTGAGACTTAAGTCAACTTGAGATCCAACTGAGATTTAGGAATGCATAAGTGATTAGAAGGGATTTCAGTGGTCATGTGAGCACAGCATGCTTTGTTAAATTTTGCAAAAATGGTCATGTATGACGTATTGTGAGCTGCTGTTTGCTTGTTAGGATGGTTATTGTGGCTTTATGGACTAGAATTTAATCACGGAACAGAATGAATGTGGTCACAGATAACAGCAATTTGTTTCTGGTGTGCTGGTAATTCACCATGCTGTAATCACTCTTGATAGTGACCTTTCAGGAACACACCTGACATGAAAAAACACAGAGCTCATATGGGAGCTTACTTTTGAAGCCGTTGATTAATGTGCCCAATAAAATACATATGCTAATAGTGCAATACACATCCCTGTACGATTACCCTGTGCAACATTTATCTTGACGTTCCAGCATGTTCCATATTGAGATTCAGTAGTTCTCGCACCACTGACTCTTCATGAATAAAACCTGCTTCTGTCCTTGACCAAACAAGTGAATGCATCATCCTATGTTTCTGTGGCATGGATTTTTATCCATCTGTGCCACTGAAACATTTAGGAAGAACCATTCTGGAACAATAACAGTGTTATTAGTGGGTTATTAGAGAAGCGATACATTGTCTTTGCCAGTATACCAGTGTTGTTGTCACACTGTGGTATTTCAGTTTTAGTGGTTTTTAAAGATACCAAACATTATAACCTGCTTTTCCATAAATTAGTGATGTTCTTGTTGTCAAGCAGTTTGTTTTTTAGTTTGTAAAATTCTCCTTTATTCCCTTTACACATGCTATCCAGTTTAAATGACATCAAAACTTAATAAATAGAAAGTAAAGCCGACCTACCATAAAGAGTTCCTATTTGAAAAGGCAGGTTTATCATTCAAGTTGAGGAACTGCATTAGGTTGCATTAGACAGTTGGCTCTGCTATACATGAGCCTACTAAGAAATGAAGTGCACTGCTAAAAATAGTGGTGTTCGGTACTGATCTTCTAGACAACGATGGATATACCACTTCAAAAGGAAACACCTACAATTGATAAGAGGGACAACTATTTCATCCATTCATGCGAGAGAAAGTATGATGCACGGATGTGCAAAATTATAAAAAAGGACGTGGTGGGTGATGACAGCTTTTGAGAGTTACTCGAGAGCTTTGAGACAAAGCCAGCTGTGGTCATAGCATTTGTGCTTGTTTTAACTTGGGCTCATAATTAGCTGTAAATATAACTATCAAACTTTAGAATGTAGATCTTTCAGCCTTACATATTCCAGTCATTTCATCAATTTTTAGTTTTTTCACACAAACATGAACATGTAGTTGCCAGCCCATTGGTTCTTATGTAGCCTGTGTTTAATATGGCTTCCTGTTTAATACGGATTCCTGGCTCCACCTATAAGTACTAAGTTCTCAGTTCATTACTACAGAATTCAGTTGATGTGTGTGCTCATAAGTGTGTGTACATCAAGAACTTTACAATGGCTTCCAAGTTAGCTTGTCCAATCAGAATTCAGTACTGTCTGTTTGAGAATTGTTATTCTGATGGATTGTATCCTTTATTTTGCCAGTTAATGATTAATCACTGGCTAATGACGGTCATTTACTAATGAAAGAATTTGCCAAAGAATTTGCATCCCTGAAATATCACCTGACACTGTCATATGCTGAATTTTATCAGTACTGTCCAGCACTAATCCCTTCCCATCTGTGCCATGGAGACACTCAGGAAGAACCATAGTGAAACAACAGCAGGGTTCAGAGAGATCAGCATATGACCAG